AATCAATCTGGTAGAGCTATACACATCCATGAGCTGGGGGATCTCAGCAAGGGCTGCGATTCCACAGGAGGACACTACAACCCCTTCAGCGTGAACCACCCCCGCCACCCAGGGGATTTTGGCAACTTTTTTCCTAAAGACGGCAAAATCAGAAAATGCAAAACAAATCTCATTGCCACTATGTTTGGTCCATACTCCATCATGGGCAGATCCGTTGTGATCCATGAGCAGGAAGACGACATGGGCAAGGGCAACAACAAGGCCAGTCTGGAAAATGGAAACGCTGGGAAACGTCTGGCTTGCTGCGTGATCGGGATATGCAACAAGAACTTGTGGGATGAGAAACTGTCTGAGGTTATAGACAAGAAGAAGAGAGGGCTCAGCAAAAGAATATACAGCCAGGCTTAAGCGAAGACCAACAAGCCAGCTACAGCCTGGGCAGCACAGAGTCCCTTAGGCTGGGCCACTGGCCACTAAGATCTATGGCTACAGGATTCCCATTTCCATTTGCTTGCTCCTCTGAGAAGTGCATATCGCTTTGTAGAGCCTCCTTTCTGTAAGCCCATCAATAAAACCAGCATCAACTCAACATTGTGATGTATTTTCTCGAAGATAAAAGATTCCCTTTTATGCAGTTTGGGAGCTGAATGAATGTACGTAAGAGTGCCAACAGATACATCTGATAGGCTGTAAAGAGTCTGCGGGCTGTAAGGGGCCCTCAAGGGACTGTTAGATACCAAATAAAAAAAAAGTTAACATGAATAAGTAAGAAATTGCCTCTCACTAGACCCTATCCTGTATTTAGCTGTAAATCTGCAAGGTAAAAAGATCTCCATGCTTTCAACAGTGCTGGGTGTAGCGTTGCAACACCTGGATAACGGACTTCCCCTAAAAATAAGGGAAAGTACAGACATTTCTGCTTTGAACTTTCGATCCATTACGTTATTCTACTTGTATTTTCAATTTTATTCTCAAACATGTATAAGCTTCTTAACTATTTTAAATTGCCCACATGGCCATAGCCAAGTCACACTCTCTACATCTGAAAGCAGGCTTCAAAGACATATTCCAGTTTACCATCACTCCCCAGCAAAAAGTCCCTAAAGCCTCTAGTTTGTGCCTGTTGGTAACTACATCGTATACAAAAGTTTTAATGCTGCTTAGGCAACGATGATAAAGTTAGCAGATCAGACACAAATACTATTTTCAAAGCTAAAAAATACCGAGCGTGTTTCTTCGTACAAAAATGTAGGAAGTAAATCCGTCGGTTGAGACTGGGAGAAGTGACAGTGAAAAGATTTAAGTCAGATAATTATCAGACTTAAAACTCTCACTCTAAATAAAGCTTTACTTTTTTTAATTTAACACAACTCACTGAAAATACTGTAACACTACCTCATGACTATCATTCATCTGATGCTGAGAAAAGAAAACAATGAGGTAGAACAAGCATATCAGGAAAAGTTTTTATTAAAGATGACAAAATGTATTAATATAGGTGAACCATGTTGCGCAGTTAATCCAGGCAGCAACAAAAGAGAGGTCTGCAAATAAATTAAACCACATAATTTAGAAAGTAAAACTACAAAACAGAAGCTGGTAAACAAAATCCTATCTTTTAGAAACACAGCAGACTTTCAACTTAATCTCAGTTAAGATTTTGAAATACATTCCTGAGCTCATACGGATTAAAGAAACTCCACTGTCTTTATTATACAAATTCCCATATGCTTAAAAATAGTCTCACTTAGAAAAGAAACAGCATTCTAAAAGATGCTTCTTAATCTGTCATTTTCACACACTTATTTTACAAATTCAGTGAACATTGTATTTCAAATAACCACAGCATCGTACTTTCAAACGAAATCCTTCTCACAGATAATGCATGAATTCACTTCAGGTGAGACAACCTTCTTAAAATCAGTTTGCAAAATGCATCTTCTCCATACCCCGGCCACAATATTCCCCTCCCGGTTTGCTTCCACGGAGCCCAACACCACAAAGGCTCACATGCCTGGATGCAATTTCTGCATTTCTAAACTCCTAGAAAAGGGGAACGCAAGTCTAAAAAAAAAAAACAAACCACAAACCCCAAACTCAACCACCCAACCCCCCCCCCCAAAAAAAAAAAAAACCCAAAACAAACCCTAAAGTAGTGTTGATTGCACAACAAAACACTAGCTCATGTACTGGGAAATGAAATCATCATTCTAACAGCACAACAGTATCAACTGAAGCAATATCCAAGGAAGATACTGACAAGAATATTCAATTAGTTATCGCACAGTGCAGTAAAGATGTCTTACTTTTACAAGTCTCCTGGCTCTGAAGTCTTGTGTTCCTGGGAGAAGGCTAAAAACGTAGCTAGAATACACATTCACGAGGGCAGAAAGGAGAGGAACACCACTGCAGCACTGACATAGCACTAAAAATGAGGCTTCCAGAGATCTACAGATCTCCCTGGAATTTAATGATCGCAAACATATAAAAATGACATCTAAGAGGGAGAAGGCTGTGAGGGTAATTACCAAGATGTCCTAATTGTTGGGCTGCACATCACTATGTTCTCACAGAAAAAATGTACTAGAAAGAATCGAGGAATGAGGCACTAAATCGCTGTTGGTCCAGCACTGCTTCAGTCTGCTCCAATTTTTGCACCAAGCTCTTCATTAATTAATAGCATTAGCTGGCTGTTAAGGGACCAGGAGCAAAACGCTAACTCACACACCTGTGGGTCAGGACAGACACAGGACAGAGAGGCAAGGCAACGCTCCCAACACTTCTGAGCTCAGCTACGTGAAATCTTGACCTTATTCGCTCGCCTCAGTTCTGACTGCATCGACATTTAGCTCTGCGCGGGATTAGTCTGTGAAAGACGGAAAAGAATACATCTTGCATAAAATGCTACTGGATGTGACATTCAAGCATTACAGGAAAAAATCCTGCCGCATTCTCCTGGAGATCTCAGTTTCTGCAGCTATTTCTCTTCCAACTTGTCAGTACTGTCATATAAATGAGTCAATAATGCAGTCAGTTACAATTAATGGGAGCAGCACAACAGTCTTCCAAATACTTAAACCCTTCTTGGTTTTTCAGGTGATGAGGAACTTAAATGGTGATCAGCACAATACAAGAAAAACTTTTTACTGCTTCATGTCCCTAATACGCTTAAACATACGTATGGTTTTTGTTCCTAAGGGCTGCTGCTTAACACCAGTGAAACGTTGCAAGGTCAAATTACCTTTAAAGAGGAAGGAAACATACTTGAGGAGCACTGTGAGTACGGCTCTATCGCCTGCAGACTGGCACCGAAAGGGTTACATGAATGCACCTGCTAGGGAAAACACATGAGAACAGAGACAAGCCCCATTTTTCACCTTCCCAACATCGTTCCTTACATTTATATGTAATCATTTACATACAGCCTTTCTTCTGCTGAATGCAAACTGTTCATGGACTCTGACACCTTGATTATGGCAGCACCTGCTAGCTCATCTTCCATATACAGAAGAGTTTGTCACTATTGCTAATATAAACTCTGTTTATTCAGTAGCTGACAAGTGGGCTGTAAAAATTTGCAGCTGGCAGTTATTTGTCAAAGAAGGACTCAATCTGGGAGGGATTTTCCTTTTTATTAGTAGCATTTTATTAAATTTGGTTTAATTCTCTCTGATTGGTTTCAAGTTCTGGGAGTGAGAAATGAACATTTACAGACAATTAGGTCCCAAGCCAGCAGAAAAATTGCCTTGACGGCTGTTGGCCCATAGAAGCTCCACAGCTGCAGAGACTATTCCTTACGCTACAAACAGGAGAGGAAGGACGTGCCTCCCCTTCTCCAACAGCTGCTAACTTCAACGTTCAGTATTCCCTTGTTGCTGCCTTCCGAGGAGCAGAGTGGCACCGCTCCAGCACCGGGAGCGAGCTAGGGAATGACACAGCAGCCTCCCTTTTCCCCAGTTATTGCAGGAATGTTTTCCCATGACTAAACATCAATGAGGGAAGATGTTTAAGAAAGCGGCAACTATGCAAATAAACCTTCTACTACACCAGAGTGGTGAAATGAGGAGGAAAGGAAGAACTGTAAGAAAACAAAAAGACACAGATTCCTTCAGAAAGGAGGGCACAGATGGAGTTGGCCGAAGTCTGCCATCCGTTACTCAGCCCGAGGGCCGTTCCAGCTCCTGTAGGTTGAGGACTGCAATTCCAGTAACTGAGTGAGCCAAGTAGGTGGACAGGGCATCACTGGTTCTCCTCTTGCTGTTCTCCTTGCTTTGGAACAGTCTTGCTGTTTCTCACAGAAAGACTTCTGGTCCTTTGATGATGTTTCCTTCAGAGCTTCGTTAAATTGGGTTTTCGGTATCCGGTGAAGTAACTCCCTGCATTTTCATGAGATGAGCTGGGAGAGGAAAGGAAAAATGTTGTACAGTTGAGAAGATATCAGGGTTTGTAATGAGAGAACTATATACACGCAGGGATGGTTTTCAGAAACTTCCTACAAGGGAACAGTGATTTTATTCTAAGGATGTACTTACAGTCACTATATGTAAAGAGAAACAGAATGCAGTCTGCGAAACTTCACAATTTATCACTCTCAATTTCTCACTCCAAATTTTTCATCCTTGGAAGACACTTCTAACTATTGAAATACAGTCCAGCACTAGGACCACACATGTTACAGAAGCCTAGTCATAACATGATAAATCGTTATCATTGGTCTCTTTGCTACACTAATGTAAATTACATCAATCTATGTAGAAACTTCAAATCATTACAAAAAAACCAACATGATTAGACATCATCACTAATTCTTTCCCTTAGCTAATCTACATTTTTGGTACACTGTAGCCAAAACTAACAGGAAAACACCTTTATTAGACAAATATTAACAGTTCAATGCAAAAATCAGCCCTACGGCACGCTGTTTCACCAATCATATTCACAGCGGCACAGACACTGCAAAAGGCTTACAGCCAGATGCTCGAGGGCCTGGATTTCATCACTCAACCCTCAAAGCCGTTATTTGTGTGTGCAGCTGTAACACCGAGCCCTCCATGCCTTCCAGGGTCCTCAGTATGCACCACATCCACGGTGCTGCTATTTCGACCCCCTCCTTCATTTGGAATTTCACAATCGCTCTCTGAGGTTTCGTCATCGCCTTTCAGGGCCTCAGTTTCAGCTGTCTGTTCGTTCTCTGAGTTTGAGGGATCCGTGGGGTCAGATGGGTCAGGGCTGAAAAGGGGGAACTCTCCCTCAGATGAACCATTAAGCTCAGCTCCAACCACCACGTTCTGCTCCCCTGTGGAAGTGCCTGCTCTCTTCCCTTCCAATTCTGCAACTGCCTGCTCTGTCAGTTTAATTATCTGACTTCCGAGCTTGTTTATTTCTTCTTCCTTGGAAGGTAGTTGGGGTAATGAAGGATAAAAATGTTTATTTTGGTCTCTGTTATTTAAGTTGGTTTCCTCTGGAGCCAGGGACTCACTCCCAACAGCACAAGTTTCATCACGTTCTCCCTCCTGTTCTGCTGAAAGAGAAATGGAACAGTGAGAGGCTCCAGTCAGCCGCAGGTATTTACTGTGCATCTGACCCGAAGGCCGTCACCACCAGTGCCAGGCCACAGAGATGTTTACCTCGGTAAGGAATTTCTAACAGTGATTCCCTATCCCATCACAGGCCCATTTCTTAGATGATAAGCAACCAGCACTAAATATCTTGCTGGGTCTGGCCCTGTGTTGGAGCCTGTCTTTCCCTAACACCGACAACTCTGCAGGAGTCGTAGTCGATACCACACTGTAGAACAGCAGGGTCACGCACACTTTGTCGAAGGAATACCAACTCTAAGCAAGGCACTCCGCTACAGAAATTTTTGGCACGGCTCAACTTTAATCCCCACATCACTACCACTTTCAGGGGTTAACACAAGCTCCATTTATTTGGAGCTTTTCACAGGCTTTCCTCCAGTAATGAAGTTTAGTTATTGGTCCTGCAACATTTCTCCTAACATAAAAGATTATTCTAATTCGGGTAACAGCATAAAACAAAGCAGCAGTGGAAGAATTTTAAATATACCATTATACCAAAAGGCAAACAGGGAACAAAGTGTCAGAATAGAGAAAACAGCATGTGTAAACAAACAGCTTTGTGAAAGAGAGAGGATTTGTCCTCATCTCAGTTAAGGACAAAAAGCCTCATTGAAAACAAGCTTGCGAAGTCACGTAAGAAAAATTACAAAATGCCAGAAGTACGGCTGCATTGACAGCTTAAAACGACTCTTGTCATGCAGATGCATTACCTCTTAGTATAGGAGAATTTGCTCTATTTCTCCTGCAGGAATCCTGCCTCACGCGAGGCACGGGACAGCCTGGCTGCAGGGAGGGATCAGAGCTACACAACACACACAATACCGTCTCTGTCAGACCCGCCTCATTTATAATTTGGGAGCTGCCGAGTGAGCAAGACAAGCGTTGGCATGAAGGGAACAGACACTCTTACTACCATTAAGCAAGCTGGGAATGCTACTGTGAAAAGATGAAATTTAAGTCTGTGGAAAAGGCAGGGATAAATTAACTTTCAAAAGGTGATCACCCGCTGGATCTAATCCTCATTATCTGAGCGCTCAGCTGGAAACCTAGGAGCTTGATTCGCAGTACTGCTCGTGTTGTGTATCTGAACACACATACTCAGAGTGCTCCAAAAAGAGCCAAAACTTCTGCACCTCAAACTGGCATTCGAAATTCGCAGGGACTCTACCTTATTCTTTGCGTGCCGCAGTTTCCTCCCTCTACAGCAGGATAACACCGCCCTACCACCTTGCTGCAATTTTCTGAAGATAAATTGTTTTGAAGCACTAGAACACTAGAGAAAAGTTCACAGAAAAACTGTACTTTTGTCTTCAGGGAACGCTTGAAATAGCGCACAGGTAGTACAGCAGGAACACGGCATTCAGCAACGACAAGGGAGAAAGCCTGAATCTTTAGCAACTGTGATGCTGAAGAACAATCTATCCCATGACACTATTCAACCTGTGCACGGGATAAAGTGAGGTCTGGTTGCACAAGACAGTCTTTAATTCACATGACTGTACTATGTCACTCTGCATTTTCACACAGGAACTGCACAGTATATCCTAGAGACTTCTACCTTCCAGCTTAACTGAAACAATGATAACAAGTACAGCCTAAAAACAGGCCTTAATGAGATCAGGGCGATTAGATAAAAAAAAGCCTGAAAAAGCCCTCTGACTATCAGTAGATCTAGCTAGAGCAACATTTGATGTATTACAGAAAGTTCTGATAAAGAATGTGTGCTAGAGCAAAAGCCAAAAATGTTTCCTGGGCCAAACAAGCCCCAAATATCAATGGTACTACTTAAAGGACCATAGCTGACTGACGTGACATCAGGACTTGTATTTCAAGATATGCAAGAATTTCATTGCTATTCTGCTTATCAATTGTTTTCACCCAGCTGATCATTCAACTAATAGGAAAATAAAAGGGGGTTTGTTTTTATTTCTGGCATGCTTTTAAATGAAAGGCATACTTGCTTGGTAAACGAAGGCAGACAACACAATCCTAAGTTCTTCCCAGGCACCACGCTCCCCCACATTTTGGAGGCACACTGCATAGACGAAAAACTGCAATATGCACCAAGCTCCTAAAACTCAACAACAGCCAGTCATTCCCTGAGCAGAGTGGCACAAAAGATGCCTCGGCGTACCCCTCCCATACAGCTGTCGAGTGCAGAGGAGCTGGGTGACGCCAAGCCCAGGGACATGCCCTGCAGCTGGAAACACACCGCTTCCGTGCCAGGCGCCACGGGGGAGATGGCTGCCCCAAACACCCTCCAGAAGGAGGATCTGGAGCAAAGGCAGGTGTTATTGCTGCTCCCCCTACTGCTGGAAGCTACGGCATCCCTCGCATGGCTGGCAGCATGGATGTGCTCAGCTATGTCACTGAAAGGCTGGCCCCATTTGTTTAAACTACGGCAGAGGTGAGTTTTGTCTGAGTTCTCACTGCAGGTTATCAGGTATACCAGGCCACACGCAAAGGAAAAAAACCAAGCTGTGCTTGTGCAGGCAGAACAGTAATTTCTTAACCTACTCCAGTTCAATGACAGGATTTCTGTGACTGATCTCAGCTCTCTTATGGTTATTGGATGGGGAGGAGGAAAGAGGGTGGCAACCTGCTGGGAGCAGATGCTTCCCGTGACTGCCACAGGCCTAATTCTTGTCTGCCTTCTCCTCTCCAAGGCTGTTTTATTCCACTCTTCTCTTCCCCTGCCCAGCTCTTTGCTCCTGCCCTATATCCCTTTTTTTACCCAGTCCCTACACTCACTCTGCTCGTTTGTCATCCACCTTTCAATCTTTTTTATCACACCTTGATTTCACTGTTCACATTTTGATTCCTCACTCCTGCACTCTGACCTCTGCTCAGCTGGATGCAGGTCCCCCCTTGCTCAGACTTCCCTTAGCTCTGTCAGTCCCCGTCTGCTCTGGCCTTCCCATCACTCGAGAGTCCTGATCTCAGCCTTTCTCTCCTGTCTGCTCCAGGTTTTCTTCCCTCTAGGTTTACATTATCTTGAAGGAATGGTGCACACAGAGTTTTACCAGCATTGGTGGCACAAAGCAAGCTCAACAGAATCATTGGTTTGTTTCTTGATGGTTTTAGCAGATGAGATTTGAAAGTGGATTGCTTAGAATGGGGTGGAAACTCCAGCCTGTTTTCTCAGGGTGAAAACCTTCTCCCCAGATTTCAAATTCCTTTCAATTACAGATATACTAAATGCTTGCATGTTTTTTTTTAGAAAAAAAAAAGACAAAGAAAAAAAAAAAAACAAAAACCCCAAACACGTGGTCATCAAAATTTAACACAGAAGTGATTCGGCTGACATTAAAAAAATCAGCTGAAGTAGAAAATGCAGCAAGGAATGCTTCAGCTCAGAGCTAAAGTTTGGCAGTGTTACAAAGCAACAGAAATAGGGTCTGATGAGATTTGACAGGCAGCTTTAATCAAAACCGTGATACCAACCTCACCTAGGACAAATATGTAAAGGAAAGAGCATAATGCTACCAAGTAAATACCTTCAGTAACTGCAGATTTAATTAAAAATCAATGATTAGGCAGGCAAAAAATGAATATTCATGAGCTGTTATTACTCACCGGAGAACTATTCACTATAGTTTCACTTTTTATTTTTAGCAAAAATATCAGCTGATCAAGATTATAAAAAACGATCAGTCTGGCTGTCAAGTTTTATCAGATGATGACATGGATAATAAAGTCAAAATTAAGCCACAATCTATTAAGTTTCAGGACTAACAAATAAATTGTTTATGATGCTTCATGGTTAGCTGACTAAGATCTGGACATACCAAAATGTTATGCCCATTAAAGAGCTTATCCAAATGCTGATAGGCAAGCATAATAATCCATCTCCCATCCATTATGAAAAACTAAGGAAAAAAAAATCAAGGTTATCAGCAAAACACTATCTTCTGCTACTGTCAAATAAAGTTAAGCTTGACTTTGGAGAGATGTTACAGCTTGCTATTGGGGAAGGATTTTTAACAAAACACATGCAAGACTATAAAAAAAAAGCAGTCACTTTCTGGGAAAACGAGTCGGGTATTTCAATTTACCGGGCGCAATCAGGAAGCCTTTCATCTAGATATCAGCTATAATGCAGGAAAGTGCTAAGCCAGTTACACAGACTGCTTTCCTACTGTGCATTTTAACTGAGGGAAAAAGACCAGGAGGCAGTTAACTGTAACACAGATGGCATGAAAAACTTCTCACAGTATCAAGTTATCTGGCAGGAAAATTCTTTGAGGTGTAAGACATGATGCCTAGCCCTGTGCAAGCTATTCAACAGTCGTTTTCCAGCCACTTCTTTGCTATTTGTACTGGGACCATCTATCCATTTTACTCGTGGATGATTTATTCAGTCTTTCTGACCACTGTAACTTTGCCTTCTGCCGTCCCAGCGCAATAATGTATTCCTTTTTATTTGGAAAGAAATGAGTGCTCAGCTCTCATCACGTTCCCTATGTTCCAGGTGCTCACCTTGTACTTCAGTTTTCTGTGGCTTATCCGTAAATGCTAACAACGGTGACCTGGACCGCTGTATAACAGGCAAGGTTGGGTCGCTGAATGTTATGGTATCCTTTCCACCTGAAACAATCAAAGTGTCAGAAACATTAATTCACCAATTACATCCATCACGCACTAACAACATTCAAAGATATCCTACAATTTTTTTGCAATGTTACTGAAAAGTACAGAACAGGAAAAGCATCTCAAATGATCCTTCTACGGCATGGAAAAAATACCCTGTACTGGAGCTGGAATATGCAAGTCAGATACAGAAAAGGCGTACGTTTTTACCCGCAGTACCGAGCAAAGGACAGATTTCAAAAGAAGACCAGATGCTGTACGTAGCAAATTGTATTAGCAATTAGTATTCAATTCAGAATATTAATAATCAGATCATACCAAAAGTTTTACAAAAAGTAATGGATCATTTGCATGCTATTACCAGCAAGTGTTCAGCACTGACTCTTTACTCTTTATTACTCTCCCTCAGTGATGAACCTGCTTGTATCACATACGTGGTTTTACTCTACAGACTCACGCATACTATCCTACAATGCTCCCTTAAAAAAAGTATTAAAAGCTTAGCATAACTAAGAACTGAGGGAACAAACAAGTATGCATTGTTGGGGAACAGGAGGGATTTTAATCTGAAAATTCCGAAAACATTTCTGAGTGTTTTCATTTTAAAACAAATGGAAAAGGGCAATTTTCCAGCTCTTTTGCAGACAAAATAGTGCAAGAAACTCTTCAGCTGAGGACTCTGCTGTAGATGCCTAGTCTTTACATATTTCAGCAACACAGAAAGCAACACCTGCAGATCCTTTAGGAAGTCCTCCACTATTCCAGAGGCTCGTGTTTTTAGTGACTGACACTACCTTAAACCTGGAGGGGAAATGGCAGGAAATGTGCAAGATCAGCTAAGCGTGGTGTTTGTGTGGCCTCCAGAACAACTGCCAACCGATAAGTAATGGCTGGGGAGGCAGCAAGCTACTGCTCTATTTATCTCCATAAGAACGGACATTTATGTAACAACCACTTCTCCCCTCTAAATCTGTTTGTACGTTTCACCTTAAGGCAACATCCTAAATCTAATCACCCATCTGAGACAAAGACTTTCAAAAGAGCACCAGGTCAGGAGATACTCTGAATAAATCCAGCTCTGAGAAAGTTCTGGTGCCTCCTAAGTAATAATGAAAGTCAAGCTGTTCCCATGGAGTCTAACTGGACTACCGTGATCCCTAACTACTTTTGAAAGCCCTGGCTGTAAATACCTTGATCCTGAAGGTATTAATGACCTTTTCACACCCTTAACATGTTGGGGTATATACTGCAGCAATACAAACGCAATTAATGCTTTTGAAACATGGATCTCGTCAAGCTTTGATCCCCCTGTCAAGTATGCATCGGAATTCTCCCTTCACCGCAGCAAGTCATAAAAAATAATCTTAACTAACAGCAAAGTGGAAAGCCCCCCAGTGTAAGGCAAAATTAATTAAAATGGAAAAAAAAAAGGCAAAACAAATCTGACAGCTATTTCAAAATGCAAAAGCCCCTAGACAAATGCATTTTCCTGTAACAGTGAAGGAATTTTGTGTTGGAAGAACTAAATCATACAAGGAACCATTGGTATGAAAACCTCCAACAGATATTCATAAACAGTCAGAACTAGCCACATATCCAAAAAATTACAAAATAAACCCTGAGCTAAAGTCCCTGAAGATTGCAAGAGAGGCTTCAAAAAAGAAACTTCTTGACTTTCAGCCAGCGTTTACACAGTAAACACATTTACTTTCACATTTGCCTCTGAAAACCAACTTGGTTACAGAAAATAAAGCTAAGCTCAGTATCCACACATCTAAGCAGCAGATGTGGCCCAAAGAGTATGATACGTATTTAGTTAACAGTGACTCACACCCATTCACGTGGGAGGGACATGGGGGTACTGCTGCACTATATTCGGTGAATCACGATCTGAAGTTGGATTACACATGGGGAATTTCAATTAGCTGCTGTGCAAGCTCAATTTCATAACTTACATAGCTTTGTGTTCCCCTCTTTAATGGATTTTTCAAGGATTTAGTGAAAAGTATACAGATCTCAAAATAAGCAGACAAAGAAGTCTGTGGTGGTAGTAGTAAATTCTTCACTTTCTTCTCCAGGGTTGGGTATCCTCTTAGAACCCCTGCTGCACCCCTGTAACTGGCTATGCCTGCAGCAGCTGCTGAGCCCGTTAGTTCTACCCTGCCTCTGCGCCACGCTGATTACTGCGGAGCAAGGGGCAGCACCGAAGCTTTCTTATCATCCCAGACAGAAAAAGGCTGACTCATGGCCAGCTCTTTTCTTAGGCTTTTTTTCAGTGGAAATCTGGAATTTTCAGGAAACAATACATTTTAAAAAATACAGAACTGCTTATCTGAATGTCTAGTGACATCAAATTGTGAGAGGAATAAGGTGATGTTTACTATGTACTATTACTGAATACACTTAACGTATTATGCATGCGTATTTGAACCACAATGTACCAAAGACAAAGCAAAGAATTAAATGCTTTTGCAAACATCATATCCTCAGCTTCCTTCTCAAGGCAAGTAGGCTCATAAAAAGAAAATCAGAGCCACATCTATGCCCAGGCGTGCTTTATTTTCAGCAATGAACCTCGCAAGAGATTCGTTTAATTAGAGTCCATTTTCCAAACAGGGTAAGCTAAACTGTGGTAGGCAGAACCTCTACAGAAAATGAACTCTGCTACCAGTTTCACCATTTAAAAAATTAAATATGCACTTCCTCTTGATTTAGCCTCCCCATAGTTCATTCATGCATTGCTCAAAAAGCAGATGACAAATATGTCGCCTAGCAAAAAATTAGAAGCGGTCAACCCTTCCTTCAATAGGATAAAGCTTATTAACATCATTTATTCAGACCATTTGGAAGATATTAATATCATGGTGACAGCGGATGTTATAAATGTTATATGGACAATGATGCCTAAGTAGGAACATTAACTTCAGATTAAAAACCTACAACTTATAATGTGTGTTTCTTTCAGTGCTAGACTGAACATCAGCTTTCATCTGCTTATTTTTTCCAATGACAAAGAGTTCAACTCGCAACCAAATAATATTTTTTTCTCTCTGGTTCTAAGACTGACTAGGTGAGATCCTCTCCACGTTCTGCCCCTCAGCCGAGCCCACATTCAGCTGCAGAGTCCACTGTGGTAGTTCCCACACTATGTGTTACGTGCTGCTGTTTTATGGGGCGGAAGGCTTTCCACGCCCTGAAGAGAAAAACTGGTGACCCACCAGGTGTTGCCAGGCTCCTTCTGACCACCCTGGGACTAGAGTGCACTTGGAAACAAAAGCGCACTCTTGATTTAAAAGGCAAGCTGCAAATCAACAAACCTGGGGACTCAACAGAACTCACATTCCAGTGTAAAATTCCTTCACAACTATTTAAGATCATCCTTTCTCACTATTTTCCTCAATTTAAAGGAAGTGTCTTGTAGAGCAGCCTCTGTTTCTCTTGTGGTCATCTAACTCACTTGACTGAACATCTTAATCTGCCGGATATAAAAATGTTCAGATAACATTTCCGTTTCTTTACATGCAGTGACAATATTTAACGTACTGCTAAAATCAGTTACTAAAAATATACGTTAAGCAGAACCTACTCCCAAATCCCACTGAGACATTGTAGCTCAGGCCTTCAGGCAGCAAAAGAAAGGAAGGAAAGAGACAGTTGTTATTGTATAAACATTAATTTGATGTTTACCTACACAGACCAACAATGGTGCAAGAAGTTCCCACTGTTCCTTTTTTTTTTTAATACATTTTGCAAAGATTAGAAACGCTGCATTTATTAATGTATGGATTTCATGGAACACTATTTTTGAAAAAAACCCTACAGTACCTTGAACTGATGAGTTTATGATACACATTTGTGCTACTGTACACAACCGTGTTAGCAGGGCCTTACACAAATATTTCCCCCGCATCTTTTGGAGAGTGTGGGGAGGGACAAAGGCACAAAGCACACTGTGTATGTTAGGGGACTAACTGAAGAGTGACCCACGGAAACAAATTTGGGACCTTCAGTTCTGGAAAGCGTCAAGAAGAGAGGCAGTTCCAGAAAGGTGATCGAGAACGCCTACAGCAGGCAAGCTGAACTGGAAATACACCACAGGAGGCCAAAAGATTGAACAGCATAGCTTTGTCACAAGGCATCTCCAGCTTTGTCAAATGTTTTCTTCTAGATGAAAGGTTAGGTGGCAAAAACACAGGGCCAAAAAACTAGAAGCCTAAACTACAGTACCCCCCACCCCCAGCAGCACCGATAGGAAGCCGTAAACAACAAAGCCTAATGATGCAAACACCAGCAATGGAGTAGCATAATTTACAGTGGTTAAAGAAGACACAATTAGGTGTAATGGGAAGAAAAGCAGCAAAAAGTAAATGTAAATTAAATATTGCACATTTTCCTAACAGCGAGGTCTATTAGGAAGGAGATTAATCTCCCATTACTTGAGTAATTCAAAACCAAATACAATACTTAAGATGCCACAGGGAACAAGCCTGTTCTGGAGACATGGACTAGAAAATTTAGAATCATTTACATTTCCAGTTTCTCAGAGTTTATGATTCTACAGAAAAACATTAAAAAAACAGTGATAAAATCCATGGAAGTTACAAAAAGTACAAAATAAATAAATAAAATTTGTTGAAAAACATAATGGCCAATATCCTGTGCATCACTTTATACAACTGTTTAAATAAAATAGTTCCATTATTTTTGCCTGCAGACTATGGAGATAATTTTATTATTTCCAGTATTTAAAAATTTTTTTTCAGTATACATATTTGACTTAAAGTTTAAAGAGCCTAGTGATTTTTGGTTTCAAATTAACATTTACTAGAAGTTTCTGATTTTGCAAATGTGCTGAACAGCTCATTCACAAAATAACTGTCATTAAAAAAATTCTAGCCAAGCTTTTCTTAAATGCAAATATACCCTTGAAAACTGAATAATGCAGGCTGTTCTCTTGAATTTTTACTAACCTGGAAGACTCCACAAGCCAGAAATTTCCAAAGTTCTTAATTTCTTTTCTAGTTCTGCCACTCGATTACCTAGAATTCTTCAGAAAAAGAAAACAAAAACAAAAGCCAGGGATAGTCAGCTGAGATGAGATTCTTTGTTATTCTAAGGTAATCAAAGCCCAATTGCTAACATGACTACAGCTGAATTTTTAACTTGTTACTTAACTAGTGCAGTAAACCTGTATACAGTCATCTCTTTTCACTAATGGCAATGGACAACCTCCCCCAGAGTTAACAGAAAATGAAATGCAGATGGCTTTTATTTTAAAAAAAAAAAAAAAGGTCTAGGATGTACTGGACATTCAGCCTTTGCTCTTCAGTAAAGACAAAGAATAGCAACTGACAATATTTCTATTTCCTTGCCTGCAAGTATCTTTTCCCAGTTACTCTCACTTTCTCTACAGCTAAAACCAGAAGGTAAAAGCTATGCAGACAAAATATAGAAAACTCAGTACAGCATCTAGATTGATTTTGAAGCTCTCAGACACAATCTTGGCCTAGTCCTTTATTCACAGAGGTTTCTCTACCACTAAGATTGCTTAAAATGGCAAGGAATATCTTTTCCAATACATCTTTTCTTTTAGGGCTGAAGTCTGTTTTCTGCTTTACTAAAAAGCTTCAAGCTCTTCAGTGTCTTTATCACCCACTCTTAGTTTTCATTGCATTTCTTGGGTCATCTCTTCTTTTGTATCTGATGCCTTCACAAATACTATTTGCAGTTAGCTCTCCTGCAGGATTTAACTTTTAGTCTTAATTCTCTCCCCAGATCAAATGAGAGATTTCTATCCTGCAAAGAAAGCTCTTTTTTCCAATGAATTTTTGAAAGTGTTTCTCTCTCAGGCACAGCAAGCCTCCTAGAGTCAGAAGCCTTTAAATAAATCCCAAACAATACTCAATAGAGTGAGAAACCTAGACGAGGCAGCAATTCTAAACATGATAGCAGCGATAATGGACAGCAAGTTTTACTCATCAAATTACAGCAACAGGATAAGTCAGTTAAATTTGAACTGAATGCTGAGAAGCAGCATACCACAACACAGCAAGGCAATAGTATCTTCCCATGCTCACCAGAGCTGTGTAATACTGCACTGTGTGCTCTCCACCGAGTGTTTTATGCTGCAGACATTTGAGCATACTGGGAATGTCATTACTGACAAGATGGCAGAATCTGGGAAGGACGTGAAGAACGGCAAACCCAGTAAATATCAAAGGGCTAGAAAAACTGATTAACAAGGACCAAATATTTTTGAAATCTCTATTGTGAGGGCTCTGCAAGGGCACAATAAAAGCCTGCAAGTATTTTAAAGATCACAAAAATGATGAGATGGGAGAGAGAATGTAAAAGAGAAAGCTTATAATAAATATCAAAGAAAGCACTGAGAGGTACAGGGGTGTATATCAACTAAAAGGCAAATAGTCCAGCATGTTTACAAGCAGAGGAGAGAAGACATTTGGGACCTGTTAATGCTTATTTCCCCATTGAAACTCAGTAATCACAGAGGTTACCAAGGTTATGATGGATCTATTACTGTCTTCTCCAATTACAATCAACATTCTTCAAGTCTAGATTTTGCTTTCAGAACGCTTCTGTCTGGTATGACGGCCTTAACAACTCTACTTCCATATCCCAGTGCGTGGCCTGACACCCAGCAACTGCGCTCTGCGGCACAAAGCAGCAGGCGATGGAGAAGGCACAGAGCAACTTTCAAGAAGCTCTACCTTGCGCCCACGGAGCCCACTCCCATCTCCCTGTCCAAGGCCCCACCAAGGGTCAGATGAAGGATGTGGAGTGCCCGGGCTTGCTTAGAGGGGCAGGGAACAGACAGAGATCATGTGAGACTTCTTCCCCATCGTGCTGGCTCAGCCAGGGAGCCGATGAAATAACATTGATTTGGCCAATGACTGTCACTACAAACAGGCCACAAGTTTAGCACTTCTGCCAGGAAAAGAAAAAATCCTATGATTTTCCTAAGTATTATGAGTTTACATATTTTGAAAGTGTTTCTCTCACAGGTACAGCAAGCCTCCTATAATTTATACATTATTATTTTCGTAAGTAGTTCACCAGTAGTTCCAAGGCAGAAAAGGAGGGAAAGATACTGCTCTCCCTGTCAGCTAGTCATGTCACAGAAGGAAACTCAACCCTCTACGTCATTGCTACTGCTCTTGTTATTCAGACTATAACAGCAAAGTCACTTATAGAATCATAGAATGGTTTGGGTTGGAAGGGACCTTAAAGATGGGCAGGGACATCTTCCACCAGACCAGGTTGCTCAGAGCTCCATCCAACCTGGCCTTGAACACTGCCA